GGTGGCCCTGCACACAGGAGACCTGGGCAGTCAGGGAAAGCGGATGCAGCTTCTGCCTCCCGGGGGCTGCTCCTATGGCGGCTGCTCATGCCCTCAACCACCCTGGACTCAGAATGCCACGAGGGACGTGCACTTTCCCGGGGACCAGTGACGCTCACTCACAGACCTGACCGCTGCGCTCCTGTGAGGCCCCAGGCGCACACTGGGGGGCACGCCGCCATGGACACTGGTGCACACGCAGGCACCGGACTTGCACCAGGGTCCCGGCTGAGCCCGGCTTCCAGTTTCCTCCCCCATACAGCTGCTGTTACTCAGGGAGGGAGCTCCTGAAGACTCAGCCCTGCACCTGCAGCCGGCCCAGCTCAGCTGTTAGGGACACCCTGGGGCCAGCACAGGTGAGTGCAGGGCCCAGCCCCACAGGGTCTAGTGCGGAGACGACAGATCACAGGAAAGAAAGACACAAGACACAGAGATAAGAGTCCAGCGGGGCCGGGGGACCACTGCTACCAAGGCGGAGTCCAGCAGTGGCTCTGAATGCCTGGACAAGCTGCTATTTATTGTATACAGGGACGCGGGGCAGGGTCAGCAGAGTGAATTATCTGACGTGATTGACAGGGTCAAGCAAATCACGTGCTTACGGAACAGGGGGCCTCCCTCTCAGGGAGCCGCTGCAAGCAGGGGAGGCACGTCCATCAGCATCCGTCCATGCACTTCTCAGAAGGATCAAAGGCTTTTAGGATTCCTCTATTCTCACTTCCCACGACTTCTGAGAATTTACAAAGAGCACCGGGCGAGAAAGCGGACCAGGAAAGTGGACAAGGACGGTGACCATCGGAGCACCGCACCGCAGAGAGGCATTTAAGCCCCTGGATGTCTGGCCGGGCGGCTCAGGCCTGTAATCCCAGCATTTTAGGAGGCCAAGGTGGGCGGATCACGAGGTCAAGAGATCGAGACCATCCTGGCCACGAAGAAACCCTGTCTCTACTAAAAATATAAAAATTAGCTGGGTGTGGTGGTGCACGCCTGTGGTCCCAGCTTCTCGGGAGGCTGAGGCGGAAGAATTGCTTGAACCCAGGAGGTGGAGGTTGCAGTGAGCTGAGATTGCGTCACTGCACTCCAGCCTGGTGACAGAGCAAGAGTCCGTCTTGGCCGGGCGCGGTGGCTCAAGACTGTAATCCCAGCACTTTGGGAGGCCGAGGCGGGTGG